AAAGAGTGGTGGAAATAGATAGTCTCCAACCCTAAACAGACCAGCGTTCCACGTGCAGAACGAGCTGCAAAATAGAGGTTAGTGGGAGACATTTTGGGGGAGTGAATCACTCCTGGCTAGTTAAAAGGGCCTTTCTGTGCTACCAGGATTGGGAAAACATCTGGGACTCGTTTTCCTCTCAGGTTCATATATGTGAGCATAGTTAGCATAAAGCCAGCACGTGAGCTGATGTCTATGAAAAACCCACCTGTGAAGCCAGTACCCAGGAGCACGTGGTCTCTGGCCCAGTGCAGTGACCTAGGAAGCAGCTCTGTCCACAGTGCGGCTCAGTCGCAGTGTGTGGTGAACGTATTGAGTACTCACTACCCTCTGCCATTGGTGCAGATGGTACGCTCCCGAGAGGACTTCTCCACAGAGTGTCCTTACAGCTTTCCCATGATCCCGTGATGTGTACTGAACTAACCGTTTTAGCCAGGTAGTGCTCTACCAGTCAGCATCTGCTTTTCCCAACCAGGACAGAAGTGATCCACTTCCTCATTTAGAGGTGGGAGAGTATGCAGAAAAGCACGATCAGTAATAAACACTTTAAAGCAACAGTGCCTGGCTCAGGAGAGGCAATTCTGTCACGTTTGTCAAAGCAGCTGCTGCCGTCCCACACCTCTTGATAGAGCTGTGCTTTCTGCGCTGAACTGGAGAGATCCTTCCGCGGGGATCTCTGCCCCTCTTGCTGCCACTGCTAAGTTTCATGGTGCAGTCACAAGGACTCTGGCTTAGTCTTTTCAGACAGTCTCAGCACTAGTTAGAATATCTGGCAGGGGCTTGCTTAAAACAATACTCGAAACAGAGGCTCTTAAACCAAAGCATCTGAGGTAAGTGGCTCACAGAACATTTGTCAGTGTAGTTTCTGAGACGCGACTGTGCTGACTCTCTGGCCCATTCCCCTGCCTGGCATGCTCCGATTTCTCTATGCTTTGCCGTCTCTACAGCACGAGTCTCTCTGTGCCATAATACCTTTCTTTTTCTAGATGTGCACACTGGCCAAATAATCTCGTGTCTTGATCGACTGCCGATTGAGATTATTTCCTGATCTAACCAGACAGCATGGGCTTATCTCTTAGCATGGATACGTGGCGTGCCATGCCCTCCTCTCCCACACACGTTTTGCAGTGCTTGCTATGGCTTCTCCCTCTCCCCTCACACCTTTGCTGCCGGACAATCATTCCCTGTGTCATAGATGGACTGACCTGGTGCTGTCCCTGCTTGCCTTTCCTTGCCGCGGTCTGTATGCTCTTTAAGTGAATGTGTTTTATTTTTTTCAGTAGGGAAAAGGACTTCCTTCTGCTGAAGGAATTATATTTGCACATGGCTCAGAGAGGTACCTCCTCTGGCCGTTTGTTACCTCACTCATTTAGGCCAATTCCATTGCTAACGTTAAATGGCCACCTTCCCCAACCCGAACTCTGAGAATAGTTAGGAAATAAAACCAATGTGCAGCTCAGGTTCTAGAGCCATTTGGTCGTGTCTCAGTTTCAACCCAATGTGCCCCAGTGGCATTAGGATTTGGGAGAGCGGCTGTTATGAAATGCCGACTTTATCCAGCAAAGAGGTGGAGCCTGTGCCACGCACGCATCGTTCCCCATCTTCGCAAGCCCACCTCCCTTGTAATAGCACTTAACAGATACAGAAGCACTAACCTGGCTCTTGGCCCGACGAGGCTGGGGGCAGGGAGGAGCAGCAGAACCGTTGCAGCGTTACAACCGCCCAGGACTGGCATCGTGTGGCTGTGGCACCTCTGGGACGTTACCATTCTCACGGCAGGTCAACTCCCATCACATGCTCCAGGGCTCAATAAAGCTGCTAAAAACCTAGAGTGTGTTCTCCTCACCCAAGGCCCTGGATCCTGCAACCCCAATTGCTGTGTCTAACTGCAAATTAACGAGGGTCGCCTCACATCAGCAAGGAATGGGAGTGGGTCGTACAATCAGCCGTAGGCGTGCGCCTCCCTCCTGGATTACACCGCCGGAGCCCGGGCAGCGGGGGGCTGTTGGCCAAGGCCCATGTGCCTGTAGTGCTAACGTGAACTCTAGGGTGGGGTGGGGGAGGAACCGTGGTTTTGTTTTAGGAGTTGTCTAACTGTCATAAACTTTGCGCTGTGCGCAAAATGCGATAAAATGATAATGAAACTTACCTGCTAGAACCTAGGAATTGTAAAGGCCGTGCAGCCAAAACGTAATGTAAAGTAGCTAGTACAATGGAAGTACGGTATAAATTAAAAAAATCTATCAAACAAACAGCGTGACTCGTGAGTGCTTGTTCTTTTTATTATCCTGCCTGTTTTGAAGTCTCTTCTGCCATTTCCAAATACAGAGAGAGTCTTTTGAGACCAACCAGGACCGTCTCTTCCAGGACACAGCCTGCCTTTAACACCACCCTGGAAAAATCCCTTTTTTTTTGGCTATGAGAATCTTGATCAAAATTTAGACACCCTTTTCTCCCGCCTAGAACAACACAGGGCAATAGTCATATCTGTCTGCAGGAACTGGAAAAGTGAAAGATATGTCCAAAAAAAAGCATCTTGAGAAGATGCATCTAAGATACTGGAAAGTACAGGACTAGAAGAGGATGGCCCTTCTTTACCACCTGAGGTAGCTCTCAAGAAGTTCTCTGCCTACTCCTTTTTTGACTTAACTTTATGACACCAGAGGGTTATCAATGCCTCACGGGAACTGAGGAGCAGAGATGAAGTGGGAGAGGGGTTACGTGACCTTACCTAAAAATCACTGTGGGCATCAATGCCACAGTCAGTGACGGCAACTCCGGAGTTACAGTCTAATCCCTCCTTTGTTGCTGTGGGTTTAGAGTTAAGATTATGCCCAAAATTGCCCTGAGGCCAGGCAAGTTGGCCTAGGGATAATGAAGACATCCAGCTGAATTAGAAGAGGAGCTGGTTTTTCCCCTTTTGGGTATTAAGTTTTAAGGAACCGGTGCTTCCAAGCGTGCTTCATCTAGAAAATGTACTCAGGTTGCCAGACTCGGCTCTGGACTAGAGAGTGATCCCGCTGTGAAGACTCCATTGTAGTAGTTTACTAAAGTTGACACCCACTCTAAAAAAAGAATTTTGAACAACTGCCAGTTAGAAATCTGGCTTGGGCTGACTTACAAATGGAGCAATTTCTGTGATTGTAGCAACACATAAAAAGCAGCAGAACAAAGCAGAGGAAATTCCATAGGTGGGAAGGAAGCATGCCTTGATTCACAAGCACTCTAACTATTTAGAAGCAGTCAGTGTAGCAAAATTTGTCAACTCTTGCAAGCAGTATAGGCTCCATTGCAGCAGGGATGTAACAACATCTGCTATATGAAATAAAACAAACCTTCCCCCGTTTTGTCTTAAGGTACAATTCCACCCCAGGCAATGTTTCTGCCTTTTCCTCTCCTTGTAATCCTAGTTGTTGAACTCAACTGATCTACATTTGAGGCCACAGAACCAATTTTACTCCGCTTAATCCACTACAATTGAAAAGGTAAGTTTGCCTATGAAACATTGAATTTACAGTGTGATTCCTGTGCAGCAGTGGATCATTTACGATGAATGCTGACTACTCAAACCAGTGACTAATTATCACAAGAAAGAATTACGATTATCTAGGGAAAAATAAGTGTTTTCTGTCTATTCCTCTAGGTGGTGCTACACTATAGTATGAGAAGACTGATAGCGCAGTTACAAAAAGTACTCCCGTTTTACAAAGCTGTCTGTCCTTTCCCTGTGAGGGCTGTGCATCCTATTTCCTTTGCTCACCTCCTTGCAGCAGGCTCTCTTCTTTTCAGGGGTTTCCCCAGAAGCAGATGAACTGCATACCTTGTCCTACTGGCTTGCCTGCTGTTGCTGTTGCTGAACGTGGCTCCGCAGGTTATTCCTATCTCTGTGTCTCTGCGTACCTGAGGAGCAAACCTGCTACGCAAGGCAAACGGAAGGAACTAAGAATTCCGACACTTGCTAAATGAAAGGGGGGGTACAGGGGATTCTTATACTTACGTCATACTGCCTCCCAAAGTAGGAGTACTTCAGGATCTATATTCTCGGTTCCCTCCTTCAGAAGCAAGTGTGAATATGGCACAGGCACTCATCCTTCCTACTACACATTTTCAACAATTCTAATGCTTTATAGTCCTCACGCTACTCTGCCTGTGCACGGGCAGCCCAAAGTCCAAAGCGACAACTAGTTAATTAAATCCTTCCTGTTTTAACACTGGTAAGACTGATTGGGCTGTAACATATGGTAGAACATCACCCCGAGATGGTCATTCCCAGTCCTGCAGGTCAGAGTAACATGACATACATACCCTTTACCTCTGCAATGGAGAAATAGCATATTTAGCAAATAAAGGTGGTGGTGACAGCAGCTAAGAAATGACACTTAACATTACAAAGCCATTAACATGATGATGGGACTGAAACTTGGGAAGGAGCCGTGCTGCCCACACCCCTGTGCCCTTTGCTCAGCATGCTTCAAAAGAAGAGTCCTTTAGCAAATAGGCCGGCAGCTCAGAATGGAGTCATGAGGCCAAAGTCAAGGCTGTACAGAGTCCAAGGCAAATGGAAGAGAATTTACACTTCCCCGTATTTCCTCCCGACGGCGCAGAGCTCCCCCTCAAACCTGGCTGGCATGACGTGGTCCTTCTGTCTTCAGAGCCCCTGCAAGTGAGAGAATTCCTCTTGGAGCACCAGTCATTCGACCTTACTGAAGTAAGGATTTTAGCATAGTAACTGACAGGACGGGAACAAGACTTTAAAAAAAATCTAGAATTCGGTCTTTTGCACACAAAGTCCTTCCTAGCAGACGCTTCCTTTTGAGATAGCGCCCTTACATTCCTTCTGAGCACAGCTCCCCATCTGCAGGAGACAGTGACTATTCCCAACTCCACAGGAATGGGCAAAGGAGGAGTAATTACACCATGGCCTGAAAGTGAACATGCATGTTGGTTAGGGGTTCAAAGTAATATTAGTACACCCACCATCTAAAGATACCTATACTGCTTCTAAGGTCACTGGGGAAGCTCCAGAGAAGGAGCACAGCCAGACTCCAGGAGTCTCCTGTCCGCCTCTCTCCAGCCCCACGCATGCCTAACCCACAGCAGTAAGGCTGAAGGGCTGATAGACACAGGCTGCGACTTTTCCTCATCGCCTACCTTGGTGCCGTTTGTTCCGCTGATTCCTTTCTGCTATTCCTCCACAGGCACGGCACAGTTTTCCTTGTTTTCTGATGGAATCGCAAGATAGTCTGTCCTGTAGTCGGAGGGAAGGAGAAAAGCATCACCTCAAGTTCTAAAAACAGTTTGGGTCCATTCACCCTTAGAGATACTGACTGCCTGTAAGTACCTCTGAGATAACAAATGTCACCTGTAGAAGATGCTCGCAGTAGGAAACTCTCCTCGGCATAGTCAGGAGCAGACACTGAGTCTTCCCTACTGTAAAATCCTAGACGTACAGCTTTCCTACCATGTACAAAGAGTGCCCTTATCCAAGCCAAATATGTAGAAAGATGGGAACGGGCCACTATAAAAATCGGAACATGTCTGCTGTGTCAACTGCACCTGTGAGTCAGATCTCTGACAGCAGGCCTCCAGCAGAGCATCTCTGTGCAGATCAAACCTGGCCACTTTGGAACACCATGGCTACCCTCCCTAGCTGGTACATTGTCCCTCATCGTACAAGTTCACTGTCTCTTTTGGTACTCCCAAACATTGCAAAGATTCCAGACAGAGCAAACATCAGCTAGAAACACTCAATAGCAAAGTTCAGTCTTCCTGCAGTCTGATCTGGACTGAGACATCTGAAGAATGCTCACAGAACAGCTTGCACCTAGAGAGATTTCACACTTACGCATTTTCCTGGGCAGCCTCCTCTGCCTTAGAGACTTTCCTGTAGCAATAGACCATTTCTATCAGTAGCCACAAGGTGAGGAAGACCAGCAGAATATACATCATGATTTCAGAGATGACCGAGGTGAAGTCTTCTCCAGCTGTTAAGAAAATGCAATTATCTCTGATCATTTACATGCAGCTATCAAGCACAGCAGCTCCCCTGACACTTCCCACCCCGTCATCCTTCCTAACCCACCTTGCCAGAGATACCCAGATGCCACTACACTGTGAGGGGGCAAAGAAGAGGGAACAGGGGAGAGGCTGCCAACAGGATATGCCAGCAATGATCCCACTGCGTGTTTCCAGCAGAATCAAATGTGCCCAGGCTTGTGTGTGTCTCGCATTCTCTGCCACCCACGCATTCACACGGATTGCTCACCGTTAGCCTATCTCATCTTTACACTTGGTTTCCTTTGTGCATCCTACTCGCTGGTGTTACCTGACTGTATTGTGCCACCAGTGATTTGAAAGAGATCAAAACACAGAGATGCTTGTGGGGAAGAAGGGAAGGGAAGACACAGCAGAAAAACATGAGGGCTAAAAGCTCTTATCCCTTTCTGAAGCGAACAGCAGAATTCCCACTGATTTCTAACAAGCCAGGATTTCAGCACTGGACTGTGCAAACCCAAGAGGAACAGAAAGACTCGGGAGCACTGCAAAGGGAGGGAAGGACTGGGAGAGGGTGGAAGCAAGAGACATATCAAAATGGAGAACGAGTCATTCCAGGAGGGAGGGGGTGGAAGCAAGGAAGCCGACGCTGCGGTACCCTGGCAAAGGCTGTGCTGTAGCATCCCAGAGCCGCCAGGGGAGAAGCCGGGGTTCCGAGTGGAGAAAAGGGAAACCTCTGCCTTCTTGTGCCTACCCAGCTGTTCCCCCAGCCCACCAAGCTTATTATACCTTCCCACATTCACACACAACCACTCCGAGCCTAAAAAGAGGCTGCAGCCAGCAAACAAAAGGCAGGTCTTTCCTCCTGAACCCTGTGCAGTGTTTGTTGCTGGCAAAGACAGACACAATTATCTGGCAGCTCAGTCTCCCCTCTCCTGCTATGCAATGAAAAACTGCATCTCTGGATGGCAACACCCACGGCAAGTTAAGGCACAACACACTTTCTGCCAATGCTTCATACCCTCCTCCACCACGGTGAGGTGGATCAATCTGGAGCTTGTGAAGAGAGGTCGGTGAATCTCAAACTCAAACTCCCGGGTGATGTTACAGGTGTAGATACCCGAATCATTCAGGGTCACGTTTAACACAGTGATGGATACATCCTGCATGTCTTTACTCCCATTCCACTGTATCCGACCACTGAAGCGGCTTGGAAATTCATGGTTCGTTTTCCTGTACTCATAGATCTGTGAGGAAATGTGAAGGGGTATTCTGATTAACCACTGACTCGAATCTCGGACAACTACACAGCATATACAAGGAACAACATCATCCTCTAGCTACACACGTGTACGTCTGGGCTATGGCTTCCTTAGCGACAGCAGCTATTCATATTCTATCATCCTTTACCCCAAAATCTCAGACTGCTTTAGGCAGAAAATGGAATTATCTCCAAAGTTAGAAAAACTAAGGCACAAAAAACCAGAGACACATGTGGACAATGACACAAAAGATCAGCAATGGAACTAAAAACTAGGATCCTGCAGTCTTCATGCCTAACCTGTTGGTCACTGCATGTAAGAACATCTGAAAAAGGAACCACAGAATAAATATAGTAAAGACAAACTGTCATTTTTGATAAGCCCTAGGATATTCAGCTGAAATGGAAGTATTGCAGGATAAATACGACAGTGTGAAAATGGTACATCAGAAGAACAGAGCTTGGGTGACTTTCACAAGCCTAACCTCTTGCAAGTTTCTGGCTGACCACAGTCCCCATCGTTAAACTGCCCACCCCAGCTGAGTTTCGTTAGCATTCTTTGGGTTGCCACTGGCAAACGTCACTGAAAGTGAATTCCCACCTCACTCCTTAGCACGGCCCCTTAGCTCTCAGACAGTAGGGGAACGTTTGTCATCTCGCCTGGCCCTGCTCAATCATGATGAAATGCAACCACTGACCTAATGCTTCATACTCAGATAAAATAGCTAGAAACGTGTGCACTCAACCTTAATCTTATTCTCCATTTTACCATTTTTCTTGGATTCCAGTTACCCCTCATCTATACGATTCCCATTTTGATTCACTCTGAAAATGAATTTTACACCTTTTCTTGACAGGCATCCCAAAACAACTCACAGATCCTCCCACAGTCAGGATACCACTGCTTTCTCTGAGTGCCCTGCAGGTTTATCAGAGCCCAGTTTAACCTCCAAAGAACAGTTTTGGGATTCAGAGTATCCTAAAAAGGGAGACTTGGCCAAAGGTACCAGGTGTCACTCCATACTTGTTTCCCTTCTTGATTTCCTAGAATACTAGGCTTCACGTATTCAAGGGATGGAACTAGAAATTCACATTCACGTCTGCACAATCCCAAATGTTCGAACTCAACAACAGATTCTAGCTTTTCCTGCCATGAGTTCATGCTGTGCCCAAGTGTGGAAATCAGCTAAGTGTGGAAAAGATGCTTTAGTGACTGCCCAAAATTGGTGTTGTGGAACCTTCGGGTGAAAATGCTGCAGAAATTGTGAAGATCTGCAGCTTAGAGCTGAACTCCAAGCTCGTCTCTCCTCTGTGATGCGAAAGCAGCCTGCTGGGCATTTCTACAGGCCTTGAATAAGAATGCGGCAGAAAGCCTTTGCTCGTATTTGGGTCTCTCTCCTTCCCTTACACAGTCTTCCTTGGGAATCCTGCCGCAGGACAAACTTACACTCTCATAAATACCTTTTGGCTTCTCCCACGTGAGTTCACTGGACTGTGTTTCACAATAGGACCTATGAAAACAAGGGCTTAGCTACCAAGCATACATACAGGTTCATCTTTTCCACCCTCCGGCCTGTAGAACCATTCCACCACTGTGCTGGCTGTGACCTCTTCCCTCTTCATGCAGGAGATGCAGAGTAGCTTCATGTGTGTTCCTTGGACAGCCTCTGTCTCTGATGGAACTTCAACACATACTGCAGAACAAAAACCAGCTAGGGAAAAGGAGCAGCAGAGAAGAAGCATAAGACAGAATTAGAGAGACATCAGTTATCCACTTCTCCGCATTTATGATCACATCATCCCCAATGGAAAACTGTTTGATTAATTACTAGCACCCTCTGACAACAGATGAGCCTCAAATGTCAAATTTTACCAAGCTTCCTTCTTCGAGATATAAATAATTCATAATAATTAACAGAGGGTGATCACTTCATGCAGATTCACCTCTCCAGCATCTGCTTTGCCACAACTTTCATTTTTCCCATAGTAATTAATGCCACTTTAGAGGCACTGTTCATTCTCTCCCATGCATGCTGAGCATGCTCCTGTTACAGTAACAATTACAGTCTGGCACGAGAGAAAGCCCAGAATTCAAGCATGGAGGAACAGCTCGCTCTTTGTGCTAAGTTAAAAGGTCTGGATGTTTTAATCTGGCAATGTGTTCCAAACAAACTGGGAGGATTCGCCACCCTTCCTGTTTCTAGGTTTCATAAGCAGTGCTGGGAACCGAGGGGCTTGGACACTAGCAGCTATAAAATACTGCTCTCCCAAACAAGACAAAAATCGTTGTCTGCAAAACTAAATACTCGATAAGAAAAGGAACGCTTCAGCATGACATCTCAGACTAAATCCCTGACGACATCTGTCCCCTGGGCTAAACAATACTGGGTTTTGTCTGTCCAAACCTGTCTCCAAAGCCTAGGGTTTAGCTCACTGAAGATGCTGACTTTGCTGGCTGCTCCCTCCTCCCCAGCCTCTGAGATAGCATTAACCCACTCTCTCGAGCACTGTATTATCCCGGGACCTATCCCGGAAAGAGCCAGATTCCAATTCTCCCACACTACCAGCTCCGTGGGTAGCACCAGCTTTCTGGGAGAAATAAGGGAGAAGCTACTGGATCATGGTTTACTCCGGTTAAAGTGGATATGTACACGCAGATACGCACCCACATACAGAGCTGTAGGTATATGTGCACATCAAATGTAGCTGTATTGGCAAAATTAACCAACCTTTACTTGGTTGCAGTAGAGTAACTATAATAGCTATAAAATTATTTATTCCAGTTTATAGAGACTGTATGGAAAACTAGCACTGACATGCACCACTTAACAGTTTGCACATCCTCCCTGAGGCAACTATATGTTAAATTACATTGCAATTTCAAAACAACAGCAAACAGGAAACAGCAAAGAACTTGCATGTGCATTAAAGCAAATGCTTTGTACTGTAAGTCTACTTAGCAGTAACGTATTTTATCTGCTCGTATTACCTCCAATACATTCATACTAACTCTGCATGAGTATCATTTCCTTCTCCTCTTGTAAACAAAAAAAGCCACTTCGAAAGCTGGTCTTCACGACAGCATTTACGGAACCTTACTAGGAAACTGGCTGCTTTTAAAGAAGCATCCTGCAAGGGGCAAGCACCAGGTTTGGTGGAGAACGTGGCTGAAGACAAGACAGAATAGAAGCACCTACCCCAGACCACCAACACGACCGAAGACGCACAAACCAGCCTTGGCAGCGCAGCCATTGTTCCGTGCCACGAGCGAATCTCAACCTGGGCAGAGGCTCTTTCGGAAAACCACCGCTTCTCCTCTCCTGGCTGTGGACCCGGCGCAACAGGATGCCTCGGGCTGCGCCCGTCGGCGAGAAGGCAGCGGAGGGTGGGCGGCAGCCGGCTGGGATCCGGGGGTGCCGGGGATCCACGCTGGGCTGGGCTCTCCCCCGGCGCGGCGGCAGCACCACGG